CGAGGCCCGGGCCCGGCCCGGCCCGGCGGGCCTAGGGCCCGGTTGCACAGGGTTGGTAGGACCTTGCAACCCTACCCTGTCAGGTAAGGTCCGGAGGTCAGGCAACCATGCCCTGACCTGCAGGGCCCTGGGAAAAACCTGACCCTGTGCCGATCCCTATTTATGAGGCACAACTTTATCATAAAAATGGCCAGAGCTAGAGTCGGGCGCAAATTTGTGGGCCCGGGGCCGGGCCCGGTTTTTGGTCCGGTCCGACCTCCTTTTTTGGGCCGGGCCGGGCCCGGGCATGGACGGCCCATTCCTAGCTTTCAGCGGGATCAGCATGACATAGTCTGAGTCTGAGTGGGAGCGGGGGGGGGGGTGGCAGTGACTCGGCACGGCTCCGGAACTGTCGGGCGTCCGCCATTTGGGGTAATGCTAGGTACATATGTCCAGGAAGCTGGCTACGCCACATGGGATACGCTACGCCTACGCTACAAGAGCTTAAAGCACTCATGGCGTAGGTCAGCCAGTTTCTGCCGCCTCGTTTTTAGCAGCAATGCGCTGAAACGAAGAAGTCGAAAAAAGTGCTTATAGCAGGCGAGTCTTCCTACTTATATTCAGTAATTTAGAACTTGCTTCCGTGTTACATTCCCTGATGTGTCATTCGAGCAAGCTGTAAAAGACCTAGAAGCCCGATATGAAACTGCTTATCGCGTCATGGACGATGAGATCATAAGCTTCTGCAAAAAGAAGTCACCACAGGATCGCCATAGATCGGTCGCTTTCAGTAGTGTCACCGCCACCAAGGATCTGTTCCGGAAGATTGTTCAGGTAATATGTAAGGCTGCACCTTTCACGGACGTAGTTCGTCGGTTCGGTTATCATACAACCCAATCTATGCGATTAGGACTGGAAGCTGTTAGGCTGAGAACTTTTTTGTTTCTAGGTTTTTTTACTTCGATTTTTGGGTTTATTTCCGGATTTGAAAAAGCGGCTCGGCTCATTTCTACCATTTAGATGCGTATCAACGATGAACTGCCAGAAGCATTTGCGCTGCGAATTATCTGCCCCTACAACAACCCGCAACAAGATCTTGGTGTTTTCCAAGCAGTGCTGGAACACCCAGGAGGGTGGGGCGGCACTTACGCAGTGAAGGGAACGGATCTCAAACTGCGCCACGACTCGGACGACGAGCGCGATTACAGGGACGCCGAGATATGGAACTACTCGTATTCCGAGGAAAAGTACGCAACCGACAGCGGATAAAGGTCTCTTTGTTGGACTTTGCTGGAATGTTTTACCCTCGCCCATCAATGATTTGATATTAATTTTGTTACTTTCATTAATGTGTTATCAAACTATTAAAAATAGGCCACGTCGGACGCATATTACCATCCCTTAGGATAGTTTTGGTCACTCAGAACCAAGTCTGCTAAGTTCAAACCGATTCATTGTTGACGCTAGATCTTCATGTTCGGATATATGCGTCCCAGTCGTAGAGCTGATGCTTTGGCCAAAATATTCCTAGGCAAAAAAACAATAAGAAAATCGTGATATTTTCCCTCTAAAGGCTCGCCGGTGTACGCTTGGAGACCCGACAACGATCAAAAACCCGACGACAAGCCCTCATCTTTCCGTGAAGAATACTTTACATCTGCTGTCGGAGCCGCAGTGAGGCCGAATGTCTACGCAGATTCTGCGTATACATGCATTTCTGCGTCGCAGAATTCATTAGACATTTCTCCTCTCAGGCAGGAATCTTACGTAGCCATTTCCCCCGCGCAAGCTCTACGTCGCATAAGACATTGCATCCTGTCCGATACCGTCGGTGTACGGCGGTGACGTCGGTTCGTAGGCAACCAGTACGTAAATGGGCATCATTACTCGTAGCGGTACGATGCTTGTCGTCGTCCTATGGTTGATCGCAATCGTAGAAGCGGAAAACATCACCGATGTTGACACAGGCTGGTGTTTATCAAATCACTGTTCTTAGAATAACGTGGTACAAGCGTGTTTGTCGGATGGTTTAAGGAGAGTTAGCGCTGATCGAACGGATCGAGAACGTCAGAATCCAAGCCATGAAACTTCTGAACGACACGGACGCTTATGAAATGGCGACGAAGATTTTGGATAATGTCGCGGATATGTTGAACTTCTTCGACGATTTGGGACCGTTGTTCTGGAATGGAACCCTGGCCACGGACATGTGCGTGGTAAGCGCTGTGCAACCCAGTTTTTTTGTTCATGACTCTGCCTTAAACGGAATATGGTAGTAGTTTGGCACACCGGGAGAGTTAGTACACCGGGATGAATTTCAAATAATTATTCCGTTCACACGTTCACTCGTCGCAATTACGAATGGGCATTCTCAACCATTATCTCTATCACTGCACCGCTTGGCATACACGGGGGATGCGAGGGAGCCGAACCATAGAGGGCATCCGCGAGGGGGAGGTATTGTGAGGGCAGGGGTTGCAGCTCTTAACTTTGCCCATGATTCATGCTTAAGGGGATAGATATCCTTACATTTTCCACCGCAAAAGAAACTAATGTAAGGAATACTGACAGGCTGAAGGCAGTCGACAATGGTGCGACATCTACGCGCTGCCGAACGGATCAGTACCGCTGAAGAAAAGCTTCCTAACGCTGATGTATGGCGTATTCGCCATGACGCAATCCACGTACGGAAACAAGTAGGCGGCGACGACGATTCCTCCAAGAAGCAACGACAAACACCTTTCGTTGCGGGTGCCGCTGGATAAGGATGACGGCTGCGCGTGAACGGAACAGCCCGACAAACTGAACATCGTCAAAGCCTGCTTGGGCGGGCTTGGTAATGTGACCAATAATACCGGGTACCCGGCTGTACACGCAGGCGATCCCTGCTGAAGGTCGGGCGGGTGAGGCCCCCATGTCCTGCCCAGGCAAGCTCACGAAAAGCAAAGGCCGTTAGCGATCCGGAACGCAAACGGAACCGTTCAAACCAAGTCAACGCGCACACCTCCGGTGCAGACGACCTTCGGCAAGCCGTCCAAGCCTCTCATCAACCTCTGCCGGGCCTCCCAAGCCTCCAGAGGCGCCGACCACCAAACCGGGAAACACACTGGAAACGAGGGTCCAGGTACCACCGGAAACCGTCGTAGCGCGACAAGGCGGCGGAAGGCGGCCACCAGACCTGCAGAACAAAAGGTGCTTCAACGTTGTCGTGCAACTAAGCTTCGCTTCGCAACGTTCAATATCGGACAGAGCGGAGCAGGCGGGACCGACCAAATCATCTCGAACGGACACCGACTAAATGAGATCATGACGGCGCTGGAGAAGATCAAGTTCCACATCATCGGCCTGGCAGAAACGCACACGAAGAAGGCCCAGAGGCTTCGCTGGAAAGAAGGCGAACTAAAAGGATCAGAAGTGCACGTGGGCGCATGCGAGATGGGTCGAAACGGGAGCACTATCGGCGGCGCTGGATTCGTCATCCACAAGAGCCTTACGCACTGCATCCATTCCATCGACCTACAATCGAGCAGAGTCGGGGTACTGAAACTCAGCGTACCTGGCCAGCGAGCGCCGTTGAAGATCATACAAGTGTACGCACCGCATAGCGGCTACTGTGCGGACGACCACGAGCAGTTCTACCAGGAGCTAGAGAGAAGCTCACCGATCAGGCATGCCGTACGATCGTAATGGGCGATTTCAATGCACGAATCGGAAGCCAGTTGGCGGGCGAGCAATACATCGGCCCATTCACCGACGAGGCCAGAAACGAACCGGGCCAGCGCATGTCCAGCTTCGCAGAGGCCAAGCAGTTGTACGTCATGAACAGCTTCTTCCCGAAGCCAGTCAGGAAGCGGTGGACATGGCAATCAGCTGACGGTGTCACGCGCTCCGAAGTCGACTACGTCCTGTGCGACCACGCGCAAACCGTGACGAACGTCGAAGTGCTGTCGCGGTTTGAGGCCAGAAGCGACCATCGGATTGTGCGAGCGCTGATGTTGAACCTACCTCAACTGAAGAAGGACCGCATACAGAACGGAAAGAAGAAGATCCCCTCTACCGTATCAGACGAGCTGCTGAGAACAGAAGTGGAAGGCGCCGAATGGCCAAGCCACTCCGACAAACGCATAAACGCCCGCTGCGAATCGCTCGAAGCGAAACTGCTAGACTGCGTAAAAGCTGCCGAGTTCAGAAGACCCAGCCAAAGAGGATCTCGCATCACCGAGGAGACAAAGACGCTCATGAAGCGACTCCAGATGCTAAAGCAGAACGGCGGAGACCCCGAAGAATGTCGAAACCTGAGCCGGGAAGTAAGAACGCGCCTAGTAGCCGACTACGACGACTACCGCAACGCTCGCCTGATGGAAGCGGCAGCTGCTCGAGAGAGCCTGAAGAAGTGCAAGCGGAAAATGGCCCAATCCCAGCTTGTCACGGGATCACTGCGAGATACAAGCGGCCAGTTACAAACGGAACGGCGAAGAGTAGAAGACATCTGCCGTGACTACTACGCGTCGCTCTTCGAGAGCAAAGTGCACGTACCAAAAGCCGAGCCAGTACCTGAAGGAGACGAGGAGCCGCTACCACGCGTAACGACGGCAGAAGTCGAGGCAGCCCTGAAGAGGTTAAAGAATGGGAAGGCGCCAGGTCCAGACGGCATTACAGCGGAAATGCTGAAAGCCGCCGGTACTACGCTATGGGATCAGATAGCGAAATTCTTCACACAATGCTTGAAAGCCAAGCAGATACCGCTGAAGTGGAAGGAATCACGCACTGTGCTACTCTTCAAAAAGGGCGACCCAGAAGACCTCAAGAACTACCGGCCCATCTGCCTGCTCCCGGTAATGTACAAGCTCTTCACGAAGGTGATACTAAATCGAATCACCGGCCAACTAGACGCAGCTCAACCAAACGAGCAAGCAGGATTCCGTAGCGGCTTCTGCACTTTCGACCACATGCAGGTGATGAACCAGCTGCAGGAAAAGGCTCGCGAGAAGAACCTGAAGCTGTACCTCATCTTCATTGATTACGAAAAGGCATTCGATAGCATCGAGATTAACGCAGTCCTTAACGCAATCCAGAAGCAAGGCGTTCAACAACAATACGTCGACGTACTGGAAAACGTTTACGATGGATGCACAACCGAAGTCAAGCTGTTCGAAGAGCCGATCGCCATCCCAATCGGTCGAGGCGTGCGCCAGGGCGACACCATCTCTCAAAACTATTCACAGCGGCGCTAGAAGAGGTGTTCAAACCGCTGGGCTGGAATGGACGGCGTGCATGCGGCATCACGCTAGATGGACAGCGTCTCACACATCTGCGCTTTGCGGACGACATCGTCCTCGTCGGATCATCAAAGAAAGACGTGCAGCAGCGCCTAGAAGAGCTCAATCACGCAAGCGAAGCAGTCGGGCTGCGAATAAACAGGTCGAAGACGAAGTGGTTGTCGTACTCGAAAACCAGCGAGCGCATGGAACTCGATGGAGAAGAGATCGAGCGAGTCGACAAGTATGTGTATCTCGGCCAAGAACTCTCGGAAGACCACCAACAAGGCCTCCGCGGCGAAATTAGCCGACGCATCAAGGCAGCATGGTGTAGCTTCAACTCTATCGGAGACGTCCTGCGGAAACTGACCGACCCAGTGCGCCGCTCACAACTGTTCAACTCCACCGTTCTACCGGCCATGCTGTACGGATGCGAGACGTGGACGCTGACAGAATCACTTGCGAAAAGGCTGCGCAGCACTCAACGTGCAATGGAACGTCGCGTCCTAGGAGTCACGATGTGGGAATGCCGACTTCACGAGGGCACACGACGTGAGACGCAGTTCCTTGACGCAGTAAGGGAGGCCGAGAAGCGCAAACTGTCATGGGCAGGACATGTGGCCAGAAGAGACGACAACCGGTGGACCACGCACGCAACCAGATGGAAGCCGCAGAAGAAAGCGCCGCCAAACTGGGGACGACCGACCCGATGGGAAGAACTCATGACCCGAAGGATCGGCCAGAACTGGTGGGAAACAGCGCAAGACCGAGCCCAGTATCGAGTCCAGTGTACGGCGCAGCCGTCTCCGCATCGATTCACCGTCAGAAGACGAACAAGGAGGATCGATTGAACACGGAGTTCCAAAGTATCCAAAGTAAGGAAACAAGTACAAAAGCCCGCCGATGGAACTAGTCTACGGCTGGATTCCACAACCTGCGCGCGATGGCCTCTAAGAAACCTATTGGTACAGACTCGTATCCGCTGTTCACGAGGCACGTGGTATTGATTAGTTGGTTTTGCGATTGATTGAGGCTTGCTCTCGGCGCATAAGAATGCCGCAATGTTTGCAGAAAATTATTCGAAGAATCTGGTGGGACTACGAGAACCTTCTTAGCTTCCGTGGCCTGGAATATTTGGAAGAGTCGACTTGGCCAAATAACACCGGAAGAAACCTAACTACGTCGGAAGATCTCGTCAATTTCATGACACGTTTATTGGCTTCATGGGGCCCGTGCTCTCGTCCCGGCCGAAGCGAGGCAATCCAAGAGGCAAGTACTTGTGCGCGAAGAATGTCCCATGAAAGGTTCCTTAGGTGCTCTACGCCTTAATCGGACCATCATGCGAAAACGAAACAGACACGATGTGGGAATTTCAGCCTTCAGTGACGGCAATTGCGTCTATGGATAAATTCTACGGAGGCGATTCAAACAGGTATAGCATCGCGATATGGTCTGAGCCTGAGCAAAGTTTAGATGCTTGCCCGACTTCTTGATCCGCTATAACAACTACGATGAAGCCGTCTACAAGAAATTCGTTAAAGAAATCAGCACGCTTGTTTACCACGAGGTGCAGAACCGCGCTATTGTCTGACGTGTTGACCGAAGACGTGAGAACAAACAATTAATAAATATGAATTCAGCTTACCATGACTGGATTCTGTCTTGGAATTGCTGAAGAGAACGCTGATAAGCGAGAGCAGCGCCGTAGCAGGCTATCCAAACAAGTACGCGAGATAATGAAGCAGATACTCGATGCCCGCTCGGTGCTAAACGAAGAGCCGCCAACAAAGCCGACAGAGACAACGGTACCGTTTACCAATGGAGACACACCGGCAGATTTGCTGACACGCGGAAAGAAAGCTAGGCCTTCGAAACATTGCTCACCGCAAACTTTTGCGAAAGAAGAGTAGCCAATAATCCGCACCTTATTCTCCTTCATTTGAAAAACGTTGGTGCATTTGCAGGTTCCGGAGCTCCCGTCAAGAGATACTGTGCAGGCAGAAGTGACAAGCACACTTGGAAACTTTAATAAAGACGTTAATTTACTTGCATGGAAAGAGCGGCCAGCTTTCTACGACACAGCGGTCCGCAATGCCGTACGGAACTTGAAGATCGGCTACAACAGGTCGAAATCATTGTCGTATATGATTTCCGTGTTTGTGCATATGCACCGCCAAATGCTTTCTTTTAGCACCGACAACGGCACTGTAAACGGCGTCATTTACCTGCCGTACAAGACCAGCAACAGTGGTATGCACTGCGCATACGCCATCGACAACGCCGCTTTCTCTGGACGAGTCGGCGACGTGGCCAACTACTTCGTCAAGTACACGCAGAATCACGCTGACTCCGAGACAATGATGGAGAAATTTGCGGCGCTAGAAACGAGCAAGGATAGCGTTCTTAACAAAGTCTTGTAAGTGCACAGATGTGGTGCAGGACAGGGCTGGGAACTTTCAAAAATAAAACCGAATCCGAATCCGAATCTTCAGAAACTAGCCGCTTGGCGCGCTTCGCGCGCCGCGCGTCTAGGATATTTTCGTGGATGGTTGGGAAACACAACATTGGGAGTAATTCGTTCCTTGGCCCTAAATGTGGTGGTGCTAAATGTGCACGTCTAAGGATTCAACATGAAGAAGGTTTTGTATTTGAGGTACGAGGTGAAGTTCCAGCGTGACCTTAAAAATCACCGTTTTAGGGGGTCACCCCCCCCCTTACTGGGGTTCAAAGACGCTCTAAGCCCAAAATGAAGAAAGGTTTAGAATCAGCTCCCCAGGAGCTTGGATTTGAGGTAAGGCGTGAAGTTCCAGCATGAACTTGAAAAATCACTATTATGGGGGTCGACCCCTTTTATGGGGTCAAAGGGGGGGGGG